TATATATATACATTTTTATTTAAATAAGATGTGAAGTTTATCAAATATTATATCTACTCTTTACTATTAATTTTTATATCGAGGAAATCTTTTGCAGTACACTGACAATACAGCTGTGGAACCGCAGATAATCAGGCGTCGACGAACAATTAGACCTGCCAATATACATTATTGCAAGTTCAATCAATATTATGATCAGGAGGAAGGTCGTTGTTTAGGTGTGCCAGGAGGCGGCAAAGTACTTCACATTGAAAACAGACAATCATGTGGCATCAATGTCTTGAAGCCCCATTGTAAAAGCTCTCTATATTATCACATTTGTAAGCGTGACAAGTCGATCCTGGCGCAATGTGCAAACAGGCAGATCTTCGACAATCGTTTACAGCGATGCGTTTACTACGATTTAAGTAAATTAACTCCCAGTATTATTCCACCAGACGACTACATATACGATCACATTATAATGCCACGTTGCACGAGATATGGTCGATTTCCCGTGCCTGGACATTGTTCCATGTTTTACATATGTGATACAAACGGACATCGACTTCATCAAAGTATTTTTAAGTGCCCACAAAATACGGGATATCAAGTGGACAGAGGAGTTTGTAACATTATGGCAGATTGTGAGAATGACAATTCGGTGGATACTACATTTTGTGTTCCAGATGCCCCGGGCGAAAATGTGGAATCTTCACATTTCGATGAGGCTATAAATGGAAACGTGAAGGAAATTTCAGAAATACTTGAAGAAAGTAAAGCGAACACAGACGATCCCATTGTAGAAAAAGAGAAAAATGTAAATTTCAAGAATTTCGATGACATTATCACTACTACCCCTGTAAATACAATAGGACCATTGTCAGAGAATAATTATAATGATAATGATAACGACATGGAAGTGGTGTCAAGTAACGCGAGTTCGTTAAATCCAATCAAAGAAGACTCAATTTCTGAAGGCAGCGACGAAAAGATAATGTACAGTCAAACTCCGAATCAGCTTGAAACTGTGCAAAAAGCATCTGACGGAGGACAGAACGAAGAGGACGGGTCATCACTATTAAATTTACGAATTACATCGCCATTAACTACAGAATTCGATGATACATCGCATTCGATTACGGAACAATATAGAAACAACGAAGACAGCATAATATCGTCATCAAATTTGAATACTGATTCTGTTCATCTGTATTCAGCACCAACAATTAATAATATATCAGAATTACCTCCAATCAAGGATGTGTCATTAAATGAAGATGAAAAAATGCAAGATGCGATTACGGAACAAAATAGAAGCAACGAAGACAGCACAATGACGCCATCGAATTTTGATACAGATTCGGTTAATCAGTACACGCCATCAATAGTAAGTAATGTAGCAGAATCTTCTCCGATTAGCGAGACGCCAAAGATAGACGAGGAAATGCAAGATGAAGCTACAGAATATGGAAACAACAAAAATAGTATAGTGACCCCATCGAATTTTAATATAGATTCGATTGATAAGAACCCTTCACCAACAATAAGTAATGTACTAGAATCTTCTCCAATCAGCGATGTATCACCGAATATAGAAGAAATACATTCGAAACAACATAGGAACAACGAAGATAGCACAATGACGCCGTCGAATTTTAATACAGATTCGGTTGACCAGTATACGCCACCAATAGTAAGTAATGTAGCAGAATCTTCTCCAATTAGCGAGACGCCGTCAAAGATAGATGAGGAAATGCAAGATGAAGCTACAAAATATGGAAACAACGAAGATAGTATAGTGACCCCATCGAATTTTAATACAGATTCGATTGATAAGTACCTTTCACCAACAATAAGTAATGTACCAGAATCTTCTCCAATTAACGAGACGCCGTCAAAGATAGATGAGGAAATGCAAGATGAATCTACAGAATATGGAAACAACGAAGATAGTATAGTGACTCCATCGAATTTTAACACAGATTCGATTGATAAATACCCTGCACCAACAATAAGTAATGTACCAGAATCTTCTCCAATCAACGACGTATCATCGAATATAGATGAAGAAATACAAGATGTGATTCCGAAACAATATGGGAACAACGAAGATAGCACAATGAGGCCGTCGAATTTTAATACAGATTCGGTTGACCAGTATACGCCACCAATAGTAAGTAATGTAGCAGAATCTTCTCCAATTAGCGAGACGCCGTCAAAGATAAATGAGGAAATGCAAGATGAAGCTACAGAATATAGAAACAACGAAGATAGTATAGTGACCCCATCGAATTTTAATACAGATTCGATTGATAAGTACCTTTCACCAACAATAAGTAATGTACCAGAATCTTCTCCAAATAACGAGACGCCGTCAAAGATAGATGAGGAAATGCAAGATGAAGCTACAGAATATGGAAACAATGGAGATAGTATAGTGACTCCATCGAATTTTAATACAGATTCGATTGATAAGTACCCTGCACCAACAATAAATAATGTACCAGAATCTTCTCCAATCAACGATGTGTCACCGAATATAGATGAAGAAATACAAGATGCGATTCCGAAACAATATGGGAACAACGAAGATAGCACAATAACGCCGTCGAATTTTAATACAGATTCGATTGATCAATATACGTCACCAATAGTAAGTAATGTAGCAAAATCTTCTCCAATTAGCGAGACGCCGTCAAAGATAGATGAGGAAATGCAAGATGAAGCTACAGAATATGGAAACAACGAAGATAGTATAGTGACTCCATCGAATTTTAATACAGATTCGATTGATAAATACCTTGCACCAACAATAAGTAATGTACCAGAATCTTCTCCAATCAACGATGTGTCACCGAATATAGATGAAGAAATACAAGATGCGATTCCGAAACAATATGGGAACAACGAAGATAGCACAATGACGCCGTCGAATTTTAATACAGATTCGGTTGATCAGTATACGTCACCAATAGTAAGTAATGTAGCAGAATCTTCTCCAATTAGCGAGATGCCGTCAAAGATAGATGAGGAAATGCAAGATGAAGCTACAGAATATGGAAATAACGAAGATAGTATAGTGACTCCATCGAATTTTAATACAGATTCGATTGATAAATACCTTGCACCAACAATAAGTAATGTATCAGTATCTTCTCCAATCAATGACGTGTCGCCGAATATAGATGAAGAAATACAAGAAGCCATTCCGAAACAATATGGGAACAACGAAGATAGCACAATGACGCCGTCGAATTTTAATACAGATTCGGTTGATCAATATACATCACCAATAGTAAGTAATGTAGCAGAATCTTCTCCAATTAGTGAGACGCCGTCAAAAATAGATGAGGAAATGCAAGATGAAGCTACAGAATATGGAAACAATTATGTAGCAGAATCTTCTCCGATCAGCGACGTGCCATCGAATAAAGATGAAAAAATGCAGGATGCGATTACAGAAGAATATAAAGACAACGAAGACAGCATAATGACGCCATTGACTTTGAATACAGATACGGTTGATCAGTATCCCGCACTAACAGTAAGTAATACAGCAGAATCTTCTCCAATTAGCAGTACATCAGCGAAGATAGATGAGGAAATGCAAGATGCGAGTACAGAACAATCTAGAAACAATGAAGACAGCACACTAATACCATCGAATTTGAATTCTGATTTGGTTGATCTGTATTCGGCACCAACATTAAATAATATGTCAGAATCCTCTCCAATCAGTGATGTGTCACCAAATCTAGATGAAAAAATGAAAGATGCGATTACAGAAGAAAAGGGAAACAACGAAGATAGTATAATGACCCCAACGAATTTTAATACAGATTGATAAGTATCTTGCACCAACAGTAACTGATGAATCAGAATCTTCTCCGACCAGCGATGTGCCATAGAATATAGATGAAAAAATGCAAGATGCGATTACGGAAGAATATAGAAATAACGAAGACAGCATAGTAACGCCATCAAATTTGAATACAGATTCGGTTTATCAGTATCCAGTATCAATAATAAGTAATGAAGCAGAATCTTCTCCAATTAGTAGCATGTCATCATAGATGAGGAAATGCAGCTACGGGACAGGACAGAAATAACGAAGACAGCACATCAAATTTCAATACCGATAGTCAATCACAGATAGTCCGAAGTATGATAATTCTGATATATTATCTTCTTCGTCGACACTTGCGATTTTGCCGCCACGAGTAGATGTTGATTAAATTGCCACAGAAGGTTTATCCGAAGCTACTCCGTCAATAGACAGAAAATTGCAGATGCTAGTTCATTTGCACCAGATGGAGTCGAAAGTTTTTTGCTCGATTTTTACCCGATAATACTGATGAATTATTATTTAATATCAACGACGGGATCCACTTTTTCAAAAGAAGTAATCGTACCGGATGACACTGCAACTACAACACATTCCATCCAAGAGCCATCTATTTCAGACACAGATCTGGTAACGTAAAGTAATAAAGATAGCACGGAAACATCTCCTGCTTTTGTAACTGAATAAAATGCTCTAATTATAAACATATATATACATCTTAAATAAATTCATAAATTATATATAATTTTTTATTTAGACTATGTAGATAAAATAATTTATTGTATGATTTAACTTGATTCTGAGGTCACGAGCAATAAACTATAAATTTACTATAAATTTACATAATAAATCCATTTTTCTGTATATATACATCGAGGTATAAAAAAAAAATTATTTTATAAAACGAGGAAATATATATATATATAGAGTAACAAATACCCTTTTACTTACATTAATCGTTTGTATAATATAATTTGTTTTATGTCTTATTACATATTCTCTTTTTCCTGCTCATTAACAAGCGTGTAATATATTCCTTTTCGTTTAATCAATTCTGAATGCTTGCCTATCTAAAAAATATTCATTGTTTATACATTATATATATTTATATAATAAAAACATGACGTTAATTTTATCGATTAAAGTATACCTCCACAATGACACCATGTTGTAACACGACAATTACGTCAGCTCCTTTAATGGTACTCAATCTATGAGCAATGACAAGAACTGTTCTACCTTTTGTAACATTTTCAATCGCTTTTTGAACGACTCTCTCGCTTTCATAGTCTAATGCACTAAAAACACAGACAAGTAGATAAATATCAAGAGACAAATTTTATAATCTTGCTATTTCTACCTTGTTGCTTCATCCAGAATTAAAACAGATGGTTGTTTTAATAAAGCTCTGGCGATAGCAACTCGTTGCTTTTGTCCACCAGAGAGCTGTGTGCCTCTTTCGCCAACCTCAGTCGCATAGCTGTCTGGAAATTTTGTTATAAATTCGTGCGCATTTGCTTCTTTAGCTGCCTCGATGACCTAAATTGATCAAATTATACAGCAATATATTTTATTGCTGCACTTTCTGAACTAGTACACACAGTGCAGCAATAAAAAACAGACTTTATGTAAAATAATAATTAAGTATATCAGTACTTATATTAATTTAAATTCTTTTTTTACCTCTTCGTCCGTTGCATCTTGTCTCCCATACCTAATGTTTTCCATAATGCTGGTAGCAAATAAAGTAGGCTCTTGATTGATATAGCCTAAAACATTGCCTCTGAGATAACTGGAATTAAGGGATCTGATATCTCTACCATCAATAGTAATGGAGCCTTCATCAACATCATAAAATCTGTACAATTTTAGGTATAAATTTTTAAATTTTAAATAAAATACACGCGATTGCTATAAAATCATACCTTTCTAATAATGCAGCCACTGTTGATTTCCCGTTACCACTAGTACCAACAATAGCTACAGTTTTCCCAGCGGGAATGTGTAAATTAAAATTTTTCAAAATAACGTGATCAGGTCTAGTGGGATAGCTGAAATTTACATCTTTGAAAATTATATTCCCCGCCAGGGATTCATCCATGATTATGTCACCACCGATCATCATTGACGAAGGCCGCATATCTAAGTACTAAAAAAAAAATATATAATTAGTGTTTAATTCAGGAAAAGTTATTATAAAATTGTATAATCCAAATATATAATAAATTACCTGAAAAATCCTGGCTCCAGCACTCTGTCCTCTAACGAAGATTCCGAAAAGCACTGATAACTGGCCTAAAGACTTTTGTATGGTTTGTGTAGCCATTAAAAATGCCATAAGATTTCCCGGAGACAATTGTCCTGTAGAGAGTAACTGTCCACCAAAGTACAGCGTGGAAAGTAGAATACCGTTAAGCAGTAAATTTGTTCCTGCTTGAAAGAAGCTTATACCAAAACCTAATCGTTCGTATAGATCAGATGAATGCTTAATCTCTTTGTAAAACATTTCTGCTTCTTTCTTCTCCGCGGCAAAAGCTCTCACCTGATAAAAAAAAAAAGAAAGTGCAGTAGATTAATATTGTTTTGCATCTTTTTTAGTTTATTATTTTTAAAATACCGTTCGGATGTTTTGTATTGCTTCCTCACAAACAGCTGTAGATTTTGCAATTTGATTTTGCGCTTCCATCGATAGTTTGCGCAAACTTCTTCCCAGCAGAGTACCCATAAAAATTATTGGAGGCAAACTGAATACCACAAGAGTGGTCAATTGCGGTGATATCACTATTACAGAGACGATACAACCAATAATTTGCGTGAAGCTTCTCAAACCTTGAGAAATGCAGATTTTAAATGAACTTTTAAAATCTTGAATATCACTGGTCAATCGACTTACTATTTCACCAGAACGTGTTTTGTCAAAAAACGCTATGTTTTGCATAATAATGGACTTGAATAAATCCTGACGTAAGCTCACTGCAACTCTTTCACCAACGTGTGACAGAGTATAAATATATGCAAAAGTAAAAAATGCCTTGAAAGACAAAAATCAGATATTTAGTGACAAATATGTGAAATTTCATAAAGATATCGAAAAAAATATTGTAATTATCTTATTAATTATCATACTTGTGCAATGTACATGCGTGCCAAAATAAAAGCTGGTTGAGTAAGCTGGAAAATGACTTGTTTTGCAGAATCATTTTTATTCTGACATATTTCCGTTAGTACATTTATGACACTTCCAACGCATTGTGGTATTTGTATATTTAATAATGCAACTATTAATGCACTCTAGAAATATGGTGATTGTCAGTACATCATTTGCAATAATATAAAATTTATCAATTATTTTTGCATGTACTATAAATACTTACTGATAGTGCTAATAATAAATACCAGATATGTGGATATAAATACTTGAAAAATTTTGTCCATTTAAAGATCAAGTCACGGTTATCCGGATTGACTAGACTTATGTCACTTATTCTTTTGGCTTCTTTACAGAGTACAATTCGATTATGTGATTTCAAAATACAAGCAATCGTTACACCAAGTCCGCTGAAACCAAACTTCTGAATGTACAAGAAAAGTTTCGACTCATTCACGTTTTCTTTGGCACATCTTTGAGTAATTTTATTAAATTCACGCTTTGTTGTCCTCCATAAGTTCTGGCTTTTTCCTTGCAAAAAACACTTCTGCAAGGAATATCTGAAATTAATTAAATAAAAATTGACTTAACATAGTATCATCAAAATAATATGCTTATCATTTGCCTTAGATCATTCTATCCTAAATATAATATCCTAAATATAATAGATTTTTATATATTCATACATTTTTGTACTCATATTTTCTCTTTAGAGATTTATGTGCGGTATAATTAAATACACTTAGAGACAAAAGTAATTTATATTATCTTGAAATAATAAAGCTATTATTGTGATATATATACATGTGTATAACATTTTTTATTATTTTTATGTATCATGTTTATATATTTTAAAGATTTATGCAATATAATTATAGACATAATTAAAGACAAAAGTAGTTCATAATTACCTTGGAATAATAGAGCCATTATTATGACAAGTGAAAAACGCAGCACGTAATACAGACATTCTTGTAATATATTAATATTATAATATATTAATATTATAATTAATGATATTGAACTAACATCTATTAATTATGCCGGCATATATCTTTCGGCGTGTATATTTCGTTCATTAAATTCATGAAAACACATTACTATTAATTCTTATATAGATATGATGACGGAATTATTGTTCACTCAGCTACTGAAAAGGTTAAGCTAATAATATCGCAACCAAGGGCGCCGCCATGTTTCAACACATTTATTGCGCGTTCCATGATCTTCTCATAGATGGCTCTTTATGTATTATCTAGTCAGTTTGTTTTCGCGCTGTTTCGTGCTACGTATAGGCTGCATTGGGGGAGATGCCATTAGCGCTGTTTATGTCATAAATGTCATAATTCTATCTTCATCGTCCATTAGACGTGAGACAAGGATACTATGACACATGGCGCTGATAGCGCACATCTCGAACAGAGTCATATTCGTAGCTCCTAACTTGTTTTGAAGTGCGCATGCGCGTTTTGAAGTTCATAACAACTTAATTCGCGTAGAAGTACGTAGAAGAGTTGAAGTAACGAATTTATCCTTGAAATTTTGTTCTTGACAGCATTCGACGAGAAATCTCAGAGAAAGCGGCTCCTCAAGGCTCGGCTATAACAATCGTGCGGTCTGCAGGAAACGAAGACAAATCTGGTAAGCTACTTTGAATATTGCGGTTACTTTCGGTTCTTGCAAGATTCTGTTGCTTGTGGAAAAACGCGCTATCGACATAGAGAAAATAAAAGGCAATTATATGTAACGAATTCCATGCGCCGAATCCTCGCCGAGATTATTATCAAATCTCTAGGATTATTATATTATAGATTATTATATCAAATCTCTATTATTATATCAAATCCTGTTTCGTACATACGGACTTCTAAAGCCTATTCTACAAGCTGCTTTTTGTTTCTTGTTTCTTGCTTTTTACTATTTATCTTGCCTTTTTGCTTCTTATCCCGTTTTTTGTTTTCTATTGCTCGAGATAAATGTAAACGAATTTCAGAAGAAATAGAAAACATATCAAAAAATATTGTTGATAAATCGATCATAAAGAGGAAAAAAGCAAAAGGTAAAAAGCAAGAAACAGAAAACAAAGAGCACATTGTAGAACAACTATAAGGAAATGTTCTATCACAATCAAGATGTGTGCCCAAGACAAATTGCATCAACATTACTTTGACTTTGAAAGTTTTGAGAGAAATGAGAATTTTAAACCTCGTTTAATTAAAGTCAAAGTAATGTTGGTGCAATCAGGCCTAAAGACTGTCTTTTGAAACATATGCACCGTTTATTTTGATTTTAATCCTGGATCTACAATAAAGTTCTAAGCCTTAAGCCATAAGAAATGGAATCATAGTCGACTATTCTTCTCGAATTCGCAATTGATCAATTTCTTACAAAGGCTTAAAACACCTATTGTAGATCCGGAGTAAACGAAATTTAAAACTCTCTCTTTTTAAAATCGAGAAACAGAGAGGGAAAGAGAGTTTTAAACCTGTTTAAAGTTAAAGTAACATTAATACAATCAAGCCTAAAGCCCGGTTCCATCAATTATTAATTGTAAGATTATCTACTCTCGATTCAATTTATTCTTTATCTTTTTCTAATTCTAATAGAGAGAAAAAGATGAACAGTTAAATCTAGATTAATATTAATATTGTATTGTCAAGCCTAAAATATATGTAAAAGATATCATAAAGAAGTCTTTTAAATAATGCATGTTGTGGATAGAGACATCCAGAGAATTTCTCTATCCTGTTTTTACAATCTATCATTACTTAAAGATTAAAGGTTACTAAGAAATTCATGATTGAATTTCATTGCTGAATCTCTTTATAATTTTTAATTTTTAGATAATGATATATTTTGATGACGAGCTTGTGTTCTCTGAATCGAATATCCCATTTTTTCAAATAATAATTTTTTCATAATAATTCCATAATTTTTCAAATTATTATTTAAAATGAGGAAAAATTACCAGGATCCATATATTTCAATTACAAATTAAGATCAATGTATTTTGACGAAGTTATTGCAATCATTTATTATAACAATGACTGTAAGATTAATAGAAGCCTGTAGATATGCATATTCTCGCGATAAATTTTTATTAATCTGTCCAGCGGGAAGAGGAGGGGGAGGGGGAAGGATTTGTAATTTAACTCGCCGCTCTTTTTTTTTTTATTCGTAACTTTTCTTGGAAGTTGGCCGGAAAACCGCCACGTAGCCGGAGAACCGCCCTCGATCTTCTGTGTCGTAAGAAAGTGGCGTAAAGTGTGAAAAATGAACACCTCGATCAGTAATAATAAACTAATACACGGACAATTAAGGGTCAATGCGATGCAAATGCTTTGAAGCGTTTTTTAATTGGTCAGTTTGTAAAATTCTTTGTTCTAATTGGTCCATCAAATACTTCAAAGCATTTATAGCGAGATTTTGACCATAGCTTAAGAAAGATACGAAAATTACGCCTCGGCGATGAGCGGATCCTCGCCGAATGAATGACGTATGTTGAGTCTTAAAGGACTTAATCGTGCCCCGGCAAACTCTTTGAGCGACGAGTTAATGACGTGTATTTATGTATTTGCCGCGTTTAATTGCCTGTACGGCTATTAGCGTTATCTCGCATCTTCTCGGTAGTTGAATGTCGCCACTTATGATAAGTATTTATCGCCACTTGGGATAAGTATTTAAATACTCACGCGTACTTTTGCGTGATGCACTATGTGCAATTCGTTCAATTGGGTGAGACGAAAATGACTAAAGAAATATCTCCGTGTCTCTCTTCGGTCTCCACAATCGTTTAATTCAGACGGATTATTCTGAAATTTGAAGCAGTAAACATTTTTCTGTATCGAAGAAAAGATATTTTGTAAATCTGATTTTTCTTTTTCCTTTTGAAAAACTTGAAACTTTGAATTGTATAATAATTGAGAAGTAGCTGAGTCATGAAAAAATAGTATTGTTTTATTATTTTCTATATTAACAGAAAAAAAATTAAATTTTTAGACTTGTTTAAAGTTACCTAATCTCATTAAATAAGAAAGAAACCATGCATGTTATTCTAAGTTATTCTTTTACGTTTTTTTAACTTTTTTTCTGTGTATAAATATTCTTCACAAATAGCATTCCTAAGAAAATTTTGGATCGAATTTTCTATTTGATAACTTTTTATTTACAAAATGTCCTATAAGACCGTGATATGATTATTATATAACAAATCAAAGATATTGTTTAGGATTTTTATTGACCTTGAAATATGTTTGCAGTTTTTGCAAACTTCTGAACACAGAGAGAAGGTTAAAGAAACAATACACCGCAATTATAAAATTAATTACAGACCGTAGAATTAAACATAGAATTAAGCATCATGTTTATATTTGAATGTTTATATCTGCATTTATTTTTATTAACTGAAAAAAAACAGAACTATTATAGAATTGCTTAGAGTTAATTAATATCATCAAATAAAAGCTATATTAATCTAAAGTTTTTAAAGACTTTCAGATTGACATAAATCTGTGACAATTATTAATCTGTTCTTCCTGCTTTTTATTTGATTTCTCACACTTTCTAAGCTCACTTTTGAAAATTTTAATAATTTAACTATTACAAAAATCCCAGATAATAATCCAATAAACAAAAATCGTCACCAAAATTTTTCAGGATACTTTTAAAACGCTCAGTATGTGCTAAGATTAAAAAAATTCCGTGTGTCATTTCTGATTCTACTTTGTACAAATTGTTTACCGTTCTTATGCGCACTACGGAAGTCCGCGTTAATTTTCTTCTTAATTCTCATAATTTATCTGCGAGTAGGGCGGTAAATTGTTAAAGCGCGTATTTTTCAAGAATACTCTTTACGAATGCTGGAAGAATATCTTGCAAACGAGTTTGCGTCATCTGCGGCACTCAACGTACTCCGAGAACGGCGGGAACCTCACATTAAACCCTTCCTCTCGGATCTACAAAAGCCATCGAGTCGAGGTCGCCCTTTTAACCCAGATTTGCGGTATTTGCGACCATTCGCTTTATCACCGCTTTGTAATATTTTTTAATAAGCGATGATTTGAGATTTTTGAAATTCAGTTTAGTAAATCATAAAAAAGTGATAAGAGAGAAAGTTATTGTTA